ATGGAATGAAAAATTTAAGTTTGTAGATTGGGGTATTGGTTTAATATTATTGGTATATATTTGTTTTATATGAATACACTATATGCACTTAGTATATTATTGAGTATGATTATATCAAAAAAGTATATTAATATGGCAATGTTATCAGTTTTAAATTCGGATGTGTGGTCAATTTATTGAAATATAACAATGTTCATTTTGTAAATTCTAAAATGTAATTCGTAGTATCACATATATAAACCAAATATTTTCTAGGCATAAATATACAACTGACTTCAAATGTTTTATGGGCATAAACCTACAACTGACTTGACATATGCAATATCAAAAATGTTTTTTTGATGGGATTAATAAAGGCTTTTTTAACAAGAAAATACCTTGATTTATCCCTAACAAAATGCTATTGAAGGCATTTTTGACTAAAATCGCTTTCAATAATCCCACCTAAAAATATATTGTGTGGAATATTAAAGGCGTTTTGGGATAAAAACACCTTTAAGAATCCGTTTCAACTTTTTTGTATGGATTATTGAAGGTATTTTTGACAAAAATCACCTTCAATAATCCCAACTAAAAATTTATTAATTGGATTATTGAAGGTGCGTTTAGCCAAAAACGCACTTAAGAATCCGTTCCATATTTTTTCTATGGTTTATTAAGGGCATATTTAACAAGAAAATGCCTTAAATAATCCATAACAAAATGTTATTGAAGGTATTTTTGACCAAAATCACCTTTAATAATCCCACCTAAAAATTTATTGTGTGAAATATTAAAGACGTTTTGGGCAAAAAACCTTCAAGAATCCATTTCAACTTTTTTTGTATAGATTATTAAAGGTATTTTTTTTTAAAAAAAAATCTCTTTCAATAATACGACCTAAAAATTAATTGAATGGATTATTAAAGGCACTTTCGGCCAAAATCACCTTCAAGAATTTGTTTCATATTTTTTTATAAATTATTAAAGGTATTTTCTACTAAAAATACCTTGAATAATCCCTGACAAATGTTATTGAAGGCGTTTTTGACCAAAATTATTTTCAATAATCAGACCATTTAAATTATCATGTAGAATATTAAAGGCGTTTTGAGCCAAAAACACATTCAAAAGTCCGTTCCAATTTTTGTGTATGGATTATTGAAGGCATTTTTTGCAAAAATCACCTTTAATAATCCCAACTAAAAATTTATTGCTTGGAATTATTAAAGGCGAGTTTGACCAAAAAACGCTTTCAAGAATCGGTTTCATATTTTTTCAATGGATTATTAAGAGCATTTTCTGCCAAAAACGCCTTCAATATTCTCTCCAAAATTTTTTAAATTGATTGGTGAAGGCATTTTTACTCAAAAAATGCCTAGAATAATCTATTACAAATAGTCTTTGCAAAAATCTCAAAAAAAGCTAAAAGGAGGGATTGAACCTACCACCTTATGGTTAACATCAGTATGATCCAAAATTTTGATAGGATATTTATTGAAGCTGTTTATGACCAAAAACGCCTTTAATATGCTTGTGAAATTTTTTTGTGGAATTATTAAAGGCATTTCTTGTAGAAAACACCTTTAATTATATTTTTTTATGAGGAGATTATTAAAGGTATTGTCTATCAAAAATGCCTTCAGTAATTCCCTATCAATTTTTTTAACTAGATTATTCAAGTCATTTTCTACCAAAACCTTTAGTATTCATTCAAATATTTAAGATAGGATTATTCAAGGTGTTTTAGTCGATAAAACAACTAATATCAAGCCTTGGGTGGCATTTATAAGTAACAAGACCGCTATTTAAATATCTAATGGCCTTTTGATAATAAACACCTTAAGTTCTATAAAAACACGGAAGCTAACGGGGTTTGTAAATGAAATACTGCTACAAAACTACCACTAATCTTTTATTTTCTTGTAATGTATCTACAAACTAAAATCAAAATTATAGCTATTTGCATAGTGTACATAGAAATAGAACTCATCACTAACACGTTAAGAGTTCCAAGTCCAACCTTGGACATTCTTTTTCCAAAAAGCCATTTTACCCTTAACTTTCTCAATAATTTTAACATATAAAGAACGAAAAGGTCACCTATGAATAATAGGCACCCCAAATACACATTGAGATTCGTCATTAAATGAACGTTGCAAGAATCACTATTAGAATATGAACACGCTGTCTAGAGACATTAGGAGAAACAAAATTCCTTAACTTCATAAGCTCATGGTTAACTGATGACCATATAATTTATAGCTATTTACATATCATTTGAGAGTCGAAAATTTCAAAACTTTCATGAATTTTGCTTAATAATGATGTAAATTTGTGAATTTCAAGTTTGCATGAAGAAACAAACCACTTTGGACATAATAACTAAAATTTATGCAAACCATACAAAGGTGACAAAAGAAAGCCATCATGAACCTATACCATGCAAGGTCAGTGAGATACATTTGGTTAAGACTTAGAATAGTCCTTCAACAGCCCATTCAGTCATGCATTCAAAGATAAGTGATCCATGCAAAAGTGCTAGCCATATCTAGCTCAACATGAAACCAAACCAAGAAGCCCATAAGATCCAAAGTCATATTCAGCCAATGCTAGAATTGAAATGCATGAGGACTTTTTTAAATTCAAACAAATCCTAAGACGAGTAAGAAAACAAAGAGATTTAATCTTTGAATTCAATTGGCCAAATCTCCCAAATCATGTTTAGTTGGGCAAAGAAAGTATAAATGGATCAAATGCAAGAGCTATATTCGACCATACAAGAGCAAATTTGTTCATGAAGCTTTCCCATTTGGTTGGACTCTATTTGAAATCAAGATTCAAATTTAAAAGTGTTTTAGCTTGAACAAAACTATTTAGGTTTATCCCCATTTTGATCGAACCTTGTACTATATATAGGTCATACATTTCACTCGTAATTCATCCTTATTTCATTCTTCTCTCTTTACTTAAGGTTCTCTTTAGTTTTCTAGTTCTTTCCTTTACATTTCTATTCGACTAAGGTGACAGCTTAGCTTACATTTGTGTTTTCTCAAGCAATTTCAATACAAGTTTCTTTACAATTTTTGCAAGCTCTTTTTTTTTTTTTTTTTTGTGCAAAGCAAACTATTTTTCATTTCATTATTTTTCAATCACTCTAAAGTAATCTTGTTTTCTTTAAAATGCTTTCTATTTGTTTACTTTTAGTGCACTGACGCTACAAGGGAATAAGTCTTTAGCGGTATTTTTTTCACGTTTAATGGCATTTATAAATGCCACTAAAATATTTATGGTATTTGTCAAAAATGCCACTAAAAGCGTCGATTATACTTGCATTGAGAAAAATAATGATGTTTTTACGCAAAAATACTGCTAAATTTAATGGCTTTTTTTTTTTACACAAATGCTGCTAATTTACTTATAAATTAGCGACATTTTCTAATACATTGCTAAATTTAGTGACGTTTTTCACTACAAATATGACTAAATCAAGAAATTTACTCTTTTGTATTTCTTTCAATATTTATACTATAATTAAATAAAAAAATCTTGAAAGAAATACAAACGAATTTAAATTCATAAATTAAATATTATAAATATTTAAATATATAAATATATAATTTGTTTTAATATGGATGTAATACAAAATTTAATACAATAACATTCAAATTATTTTAATGCATTAACAAAAAATTTAAAATATATGGCTAACAAGCCAAACTCGTGACTTATGAGTTGATGAAAATTTTAATAAGAAAATGAAGATACCATAAGGTTGGCTTAACTCTTCAGGTTGAACTTCTTCTCACATGATTCAAATGCAGTGTCTTCAACCCAATCAAGCTGGGCAATTTCAGCTGCATGATCAGTCCCATGTCTTCAACATCTGACCATCCAAAACCTGGCAGTTTTCTGAGTGTTAGGAAAAGCTTAAAGACACTCCCTTAATGCAGCAATGAACGGTCCTTAAAGCTATATACCTACTATGTTTAGTTGAATCACATCAAAAGACTCATAAAAACCATATATAACCAGTTATCCCAAGATGAAGAGAGCCCAGTTTGCATGGCAGTTTTCAAGATTTATACTTGCAGAAATTCAAAAAAGAAAACATGGAAATTAGAGCATCTTACTGCCACTTGCGAACAATGCCTTTCGCAATTCTTGCATCCATTCTAGGTAATTCTTGCACAGAATTTCCGTCTACGTACTGACCCTGCAAAGTTAAGGCAGCTATGAGCATCACTAATCAAGGAGGAGCAGGACAATTTCGAAGGATTTGACTAATCTTGTTTAGAGGGAAAAACAATTCTCTATCCCCTACCAGTTTATGTTTATATATATATATATATATATATATATATCTTAAAAAATATTTAAAAATTACCTATATTTAATTAATTAGATAAAAATCATTTCTCAAAAAATTAAAAAATAAATAATTATTAGAGTTTCTTTTTTGACTCTGTCTTGCTAGTGGATATAAGAACAGTCACTAGAATTACAACTTTTACTTAAAATCCATATAAATCTCATTTATTCCTTTAATTAGAGTCAATGTAACTCTCACAAGCTCTTATTGTAAATTCTCTCATTAATTATATATAATGAATGACAAAAAATAATTCTCACTATATCTATCACTAAATTTAGTGAGGATTACAAGATCCTTAATAAATGTAAATAATTAATAAAAATTAATTTTAATTAACGCTTACAATATCTTTTGCATTTAATGAAGACATTTATTGACCTTTACTTAAAAGTATTTACTTTTAGTGAAAGCTTATATTGATTCTCATTTTAAATTATTTTTATTGAACATTGTGACCATCATGATGCTTTACATCATTTAGTGAAAAAATTTAAGACCCTCTAAAAAAATACTTATTAATGTATTTTTATTTAATTTATTAATAGACATTTTTATATTTGTAATTTTTATTCCAAGCAAAACATAAATAAATAATATTTATCCAAAACATTATTGCATAAAACTAAATAAATATCCACATATATAAATTCGAAACAACATACAAAATATCTCTAAGACATATCAATTCTTTTTAAGTACTCTAGTTTTTTATCCAAAAAACTTACATAGATTAGCAAGACAACAAGCAATGCAGAGTCAAAACCAATAGGAATCCCTCCCTCATATCATTTCCCTTTATCACCGCTTCTCAACTCATTTGAAGCCATTGTTAGGCATTAAGCAATATTCTAGTAAGGTTCACTTGCCTGCAGTGCTTTCCTGTATGAAATCCTGCAATTGCAAATAACTAGCTAGGAATAAGATGATGCCATCTTGTATGGTTGGTTGTTGAAACACTTCTACAAGCATCACAATTCACAGCTTGTAGAATCGCTTATCTAAATGACCAATGGAATTATTATATACAATCATCAATGTAGGATGCAAAAATTCATTCCCAACCCTTTACAACCTTTACTGAAAAAATTGAGTTTTGAATCAGCACTGCAAGGAAAAGGGTGATCAAAGGTAGAGAGAACCACTTACCAATGAATAAAATATATGAGCAAAGAAAACCACCAAGGCAAATTGAATTGATGCGTAAACCCAGACAAATCTTCACTTCACTGAATACAAAGATTCAAGAGGTTTAAGTCAGAAAATCTTATCAACATTTGGAATTCATGTAAAATTTCAGAGTTATGACTATCATCAGTATACTAGTATTTGCCAGCCTAGTCCACAATGGTTTCCTCTCATCCACTGCAAGTGTCAACTGTGTGTGCAAGCATGCATGTTCATGAATTAGAGTCTGACTTCTAACCTAAAAAATATAATGGTGAAATCTAAAATGCTGCTAATAAATAAAAACTAAGATCAATTTCTGGTGGTCATATTCCTGTTTCCAGTGAACAGATATGATATATCCCCCCACCCAAAAAGGAAGAAATAGAAAATAATGTAAAACACGTCAACCAGATACTGAAAAACTTGAAAACATTAATTATATAGCTCAAGCGTGTTTGCCAGCCTACCCATCATTGATGAAGTCATGGATGCAAGGAGGCCTAACACACAAGAAAATGGAAGAGATATAGCAATTGCTCTAGTACCCATTTTTCCAACCTGCAGGTAAACAAATATATATAGATATCAAATATACAAAGTCATAAAACAGGGAAAATCTGAATGATAAACTACTTAGCCTACCAGAAGCTGCTCAAGAAAACAAAAATATCCAAGCATGCTGACAATAACAAGAACAGGGACCTCTTGCCAAACTCTGCACACATTGAACCAATTAAGCTCAGAATATAGATGAATAAGAAAACATGGAAATAACATAGGACAAGATAGAGCACTCCTGTAATTCAGTTTTTACACACTCTTTAGCTGAGATACTAGTTGGATGAACTAAAGCCACGCATCATTGCCCTTAGAAGCAAAGACATAACATACAGCAAAAACCTAATCCTAGTTCCAACTTTCACATTTAAATGCATTTATCAGGCTACACCTTATAGAAATGAAGGAAATCAGGGGATCTTACCTAATTTTGAGGCCTAACTAGCACTCTTCCATTTCTCACATCCTCTACAAAAGCAAGCATCATGTCCATCTTCTTTCTATCTTCCTCCACCCTATTTCTTTCTTCCTCCATTCTTTTACTGTCCTCCATTTTTCTTCTAGTTTCATTTTTTTTTTTCCAACTTTTCTACCTTTCCTTGCATTTTTTCATTGAGTCTGGTTGCTTTTGTTAGTTTACACAAAAGACCTAAACAACTTGGATTTACACCATAAACAGAAGTAGGAGTGGGGCCTAATCCATACCCACGAAGACGACCATGCCTCTCCTTTCCTACCACTTGATGGTTAATTTCATCCTTATCTATTAGGTTAGAACATTCTAATTCACTTCTAGACAAAGTGTCAGACTCATCCTATAAAAGAGAAAAAAATATATATAAGAGCTACAAAGATATAGATGATGTGGTATTTTTTTAAATTCAAAATAATATTCAATGCAATTAAAACTCTTGGATTTGTGCATAATCAATAACCTAGCAAATATAAAAAATAAATAACCACAACTTGTCATGCAGCTAGAGAAATCATGCTTCCATCTTTTCACTTATGCGTCAACTAAAACATCTTTCATTGAGAAGACTCAAGACCATCCGAATCTTTTCAACCTACATGCAAATAAAAAACTAAAACTAAGCCCCAAATATTGCACTTATCAAGCTTGCCTACATCCCATTATTTGTCAATCATACAATCTATCCACAAAAATCACAACTTTTAAACAACATCAAGAACAAAAAACCAATCAAATACAACTGAAAACATTCATTAAAATCATCCTATAAAAATCAAATAAATACAAATATATATGAATCTTTAATACAAATATACCTCTTCAGCTCTAATTCAAGCGTAACTCTTTGTGCAATCAACATAAGTACAACAAATTGTGCCTTTTTCAGAGGAAAGAGCAAATGCAAAATTAAGAAATTCTTCGTTTGGTAAGAAGAAAAAAAAAGTGAAAGAAAAAATTTTAATTTATTGATTGAATTTTAAAATAAAATATGTTATTATGTAGTTTAACCATTGCATTAAAATTTTATTTCTTCATTTTCTTTGTATGGACGGAATATAAGAGTTTAGGGTTTAAAATGTTATAATTTTTAACTTTCATTTTGTTAGCTTAATTTATTATTACTATAAAAAAATGAAAAGGATTTATAAGATTGAAAAAAGTCAACTCCCTTTTTCTATGGCTCAAGCACAATAGCTTTCTTAACTATCAAAGAAAGCTGTAAATGTGATATTATATATTTAGATATTATATTTTTATTATATAGGAAAATATAATGAAAATAGATTGAATTCAGTTTAACTACTGTATCTATGAGTTATTTTATCAAACTATAGCATCACAACTATTTTTTTTTACATTTAAAGTTATCAACACTATTAGCAAAAACAAAACTGGGAAATCAAAATCTAAAAGATACAAGAGAAATTATTAATTTGGAAGATTGAATTTTAATTTTACGAGAATACTTTTTTTAAAGGGAGTGAGTGAGCTATTAAAACCAAGAATCAAATTCACCACAAAAAAAAAATAAAAAAATCAAAAACGGGATCTATCACGAAAAAAATGAGGGTTACTCAAATGTCCAAGCTTCAAACTTGAGCTTAATCATTAAATCATCTTATCTTACTTCCAACAATAATATATTTTCCCACAAATTACCTTTCTAAGGACTGCAACGCGGTTATTTTTCACGGGCCAAAGCAAAAGGACTGCAACCTGCAACCAAAATTTTTTTTACTATCTGATTATTTTTTATATGAAATGAAAATTTTGAGGTTTTTTTTTATGAGTGCTATAAGCATGATTGAAAATAATGAGTCATGTCAATATGGTAGTCTCCAATTTCTTTTTTAATTTATTCAATATTCTTGCATGTGATAGCATGTGCAGCAGTTTCTCTCTCTCTCTCTCTCTCTATCTCTGTTGAGGTTGAGTGGCATTAGAACACATGAAATAGAATGTAGATGAAAGATTCATGATGCCTGAGTTTCAATCAGGCGCATAGGAGAGTGTTGTCTACCAAAAGCTAACATTCACCAAATGCAAACTTGTGAACTTTAAAATGAATAGCAACTCTTCCTAAATTAAGCTTTTGCATACTAGAAGGATTGAAGGAGAGACTCACAATGGTGCTATCCTGCAACCAAACTCAAAAAAATACGGAGACCGAGATTTAAGATCCATGCAAGCTGCATCAACTTGGATTTCCAGCCTTGTTTTGGCCATACAAAAGGAAAGCATCATCAATAACGCACAAAGACAACTTTGCAAGCAAGTAAATAAATCATCCAGAGATTAAAATCAGATATATTGGACAACAAAGTAAGTTAATCATCATTCTTCCATTGCAACTACACACACTTATGCAAGAAGTTATAACCCTTTACTGTTTCAAATAAAGTGGAACAAAATTCATTTAGAAATAAAATCAAACACATAGTATTACCAGTAGTACCAAACCAAATTCAACATAACCAAAATTCAAATTCAACTTAAATTAACCACAGCCAAACTACCTAATAAGAAGAATAAAACTTTTGAGAGCTAATAATAATGATAACTTACTTTTGATTGAAACAGGCAAGGACGCTAATCAATATGGCTTGCCTGAAGTATAATTCTTAAGCAACCCTAACAAACACCTTCTCCACAATCCACAACTGTAATCAATGAGATAAAAGAAACTGAATCGAACTTCGATTTAAAAAGCTGAAAACGCATTCAAATTTTACTTAAAACGAAGGAAAATGTTAAGGATGTGAGAGAAACAAAGCCAAACAGTACCAAACAAACAACAAATCACTAGAACGTAAAATGCAGGTAAAATCAGAAGGAATCGGATTGAAAAGCAGAGCAAAGCAGAACAAATTTCAATTAGGCCACAAAAAAAATTAAGCCAATATAGCAGAAGGCAGAGTAAAGTGAAGATCCGATCAGTGGCTAACTAGATTCTTGAAAAAGAATTAAAAGAAGTTTGAGAAAAATAATCTGGAGAATCTTTAAATGATAAAAAGAAAAAGGCTAGGGCTTTTGAGATCCAAAAAACGAGGTATCCAACTCAAGCCACAGCTCTCTCTCTTCTTCTTCTTTTTTAATTATCTTTCTCTTGCATCTGTTAGTTTGGGTGTGCATTCTTGGGTGGTGCTTTGAGGGATGTTGTTTGGAAAGAGGAGCTAGGGGTGCAAATTTTTTTAATTTAAAAAATTTGTTTTTTTTGTGTGAGAGTCAGAAATGTCTCTCACATATAAATAATAATTAGTGAGGATTAAAATTAAGTTTATATTAAAAATTATTTTCAATAAGGGTTACAAGTGGGAATGTTGGCATACAATCCTTAACTAAATTTCTCACTAAAACTCATTTTTCTTCTAATGTGTGTATTATTGATTGCATTAAAATTTTAGTATTTTTATACTCATTTTTAGTGTAATTTTATTTATATTTTGATTTGTTTTTTGAAAATTGTGACAAAAATATTTTTAAATGTATAATTGTCTCATGTGTAGGTGAAAATAAAGAAAATGAAAAACTTTGAACAATTTAAATACATTTTGAAGGATTTCTGATGGTAAATGCTAGCAAAGGTCACAACTAATGTAATTGTTCTTCATTGCCTATTGAGAGAGTTTTTCTTACCCTTTTCTTCTATAATTTCTTGAGCTCAAATGAACTTCATACAACCATATTTTAAGTCCCAATTCTTATAATTTTCATTTAAAATTATCTTCCTTAGCTCAATTATGCATTAGTACTTTTTTAGGATCTTAATATATGCTTGAACGGTAATGTGTGCATTAGTTAGTTAATTTTTGTGGTAAATTTCATATTTAATTTTCAAGCATTATAATGCATAAAATTTCCCTTTTATGACTTGAATTTTGGCAAAAAAATTAAAGAACAAATGGATACATTTAACACCAAAGGGAGGGAACAAGGATGCAAGGTTACACATAAGAAGTTGGCCATGCAACCAATGCACTTTGGTGCAATCTTTTGAAGACTTAAAAGGAGGTTTTAAGAAGCACATAAGCTAGCACTTTAAAGAGCTCCTATTGGCTATAAAGAGAACTTTTTGGTGTGGCAAAAATGAATGAAGAAAAGATTGCAAACTAGTGAAGAGTTTTAAAGCCAAACAACCATGCACCAAGTGAGTTGAAAGTTAATACATGCTTGAAATATAATGTGTGCATCAATGAGTTGGACGTTAATTTTTGTGGTAAATTTCTAGAATTTTTTTTTCAAGCATTATAATCCATAAAATTTCCTTTTTATGACTTGAATTTTGGTAGAAAAACTAAAGAACAAATGGGTGCATTTAATGCCAAAAGAAAGGAAAAAAGGATGCAAGCTTACACATCGGAAGTTGGCCATGTAACCAATACACTTTGGTGCCATCTTTTGAAGACTTAAAGGAGGTTTTAAGGAGGACATGAGCTGACATTTTAGAGAGCTCTTATTGGCCATAAAGAGAACTTTTTGGCATGGCAAAAATGCATGAAGAAAAGCTTGTAAATCAGTGAAGAGTTTTAAAGCCAAATAGCCATGCACCAAGTGAAGAATCAAAGAGGAAAGAAGTCTCTAGAAGCTCACCTTATTATAGATATTTTAGAGAGACTTTTTGGGACTCCATTCACCACTTACCTGCCTATAAATAAGAATGGAGCCAGCCATTTTAAAGAGAGTTAGATTAGGATTTAAAATTTTAGTTTTTTACTTTTCAGCATTTTCTTTCTGCACTTTTTATTTTCTTAGTTGCCAAACAGATTTATTTTAGCATTTTCCCTTACAATCTTACTATTTTTTTAAGTATTTTTAACTTTTTTTTTTTCAAAATCTTTCAATAAAAATTACATTTGAATTCATTTTTTAGCTCAAATATATTGATTTTTTGTTGATACCCAAATTTGTTTTTTAATCTGTCAGTTCTAACCTACCAATGATTTTTATAGCATAACTCATTCAAATCTTACTTGTTTTTGCTTAAATTTTTTTTCATAGTTTCCTAATTCAATTAGCTACAACATATTAAAATTCAGACTCAAACTCGTCCTACAACATTCCAAATCAAGATTAGAGATTCAGTTGGATGCAGTGACAGTGTAATTCTAGTATTGATCTAGCAAGTTTGGTGTGGACTTCTCTTCACTTTAATGATTTGTTTGCACCATTTTCTTCCTTAGATCTTTATTCTACTTGTTACCTTGCTTAGTTTAATTTTTTGCAATTTATTTCATGCTTTTCATTTCTATTTGATTAATTTTCTTATATGATGTTCTGTTTTCCAAAATTGTGCGCTGTTTAAATTTTTAGTTCACTGAGCTTGAATTTCTTTGTTCAATCATGTAGTAAACTTGTTGATTTAGCTTCTTGCTTTAGCTCAGTTTCAGTTCATTCTCTCTAGAAAATTTTAGGTTTAATTTTTTTCTCATTTGAATCAGTAGATACTGCTGTGAACGCAGTTTCAGTTCTGACTTTTTCTTGTTAATTCTTGCACTTTCTTTTCAATATTGTTCTTCAAATTAGTTTCTCACATTGTTTCTTTAATGTTCTCTTAATTTCTAGTTCATATTCCATTGATTTTATGCAATTTAAGTCCAGATTTTAGTTTAAAGTTTGGTTTCTAGATTTACAATTACTTTCAGTTTTTCAACCTTTAGCTTGGATTTTACAATTTTCTTCCATTACTTGCATTTAATTTTTGTTGTTATTTCAAAGCATTAATTGTTTTTTTTTTTTATTTCAAGTTTGATTTCATGAAAATTGTTAACATTTAGAATTAGGTTTCATTTTTGAAGTCATAGTTTTCCTATTGTAGCTTTATATTTTTAGCTTTACCAATTTCGTAAGTTTAGTTGCATTTTGCATTTTCATCATTTCATTTTTACTTCAAATATGATTTTAGTATGATTTTGCTACTGTATTTCACATTTTATAGCATGCATTTACCTCTTGCTCTCGTTCATTTTCTCATTGGCTTTCCAATTTTGATGTTTTTGATACTTTATCCAATTTTATTTTTATAGTTAGTTTTCATGTTCGTTTATTGATCAAACCAACTTTAGAAAGGTATTGGAATAATAGGTATTTAGCTTAGAAATGTCTTTAACTAATCCTCGTGAGATCGACATCTAGACTTTTATAATCTCTATTATTACATGAAAGGCCTGTGCGCTTGTAAAGTTTCCCCAATCCATTACCAAATATCTAGTTAAATGACTCAACTTAACTTTTATAAACCTCAATTTTATTTTATTGTAAATAATTCATTCAAAAGAATGGATTGATTATTAGTCATATATACGATGTTTTTATAATATCACCATTAACACTAATAATTAAATTGTGATTGGACAAATTTGGACAATTTCCTTTTTCTACATATAAATTCAATTTAATTATGTACTTAAATTACTTTAAAATATTAATTAATATGGTTTGTTACCTTCCCTGTCCTACAATTATCTAAATTTTAACAGCTATAGTTAAAAATAATAATAATAATAAAAAGAGACTGTCATAATCAATTTCCATTTTTTGAAAGTTTCTATTACTTTCAGTCCATTTTTGCTAAGAAACAAAATAATAATATTAAAAGATGTCAATTTTTTTATTAAATCAAATATTAATTATTAAATCAAATATTAATTAAAAATTAATTTATTTATACTTTTTAAGTTATAATATAAAAATATATTTTATATATTTGAAAAATATATATATTCAAGTGCGGGATAATGGGCATGTACTAGTTGATAACCATACTAAATTTATTAAAGGTAGTTTGGGTAAAGTTAAATCTTGCTTGACACCTATCTTATTCTGGGATAATGGTTTTTTCTTTACTCTCTATTAGATGGTAATGGCTTGTTTTTCCCTACCTTTTGAAGCAATGAAATCAATTGAGCTATTTGTTATTTTGTGCTTTTTCTTTGTATAATTAATGAAGGTGCCATAAACTATTAAATTCACCCAAAATGCCAACTAATGCCTAAGGCTTCTTTTTAGTCAAACGTTAGTAGTTCCAAAAGAAACAGTAGCGGCCATCTCACTGTCAAATGCATCCTCAAATGCAATGAAAGCCTTCCAGACTTTGTATTGCATCCTCCAATGCAATTAAATGTTTCTTATTAGAAGTATTATATATTAAAGTTTAAAGAGTTTCATTTTAATTTTCTTATATATTTCAAGATTCACCCTTTAATTTGCAACCTAGCTTGACTTCACCACATATTCTTTTATTATTATTATTTTTGGATAATGGAGCTTATGATAACATAAATAGAATAGCATAAACAACTAGAAATAGAAATCTCAATAAAAAAAATACCAATTGCAGGAGGCTGTTATCTCCATTGTCAATACACTAAACACAAGAAGACAGTTGCAGTGCATGAAATTTTATAAGCTTAAACAATGTCAAAAACCTTTTCAAACAGACAAAAAATGAAAAGAAAGTGACTGCAGCAGGAAACCACTAGCCCCTATGACTAAGCTAACTAACTTTGAATCATACAATCTCAGATTCAATAACTTAATACTAAGTTTTATGCAATATAAAACCAGTTTAACAACCACCACAACATTAGAAGTCAAATTTCCAGCAGAATACTGGAGAGTGGGATTAAAACCATTACTTTGTTGAATCAAGTGTCTATATGTCCAAAGTAAATTAATAACAATTGCATCAAGTTAAGAAATTAAAAGCAGAGAAATCAAATGCTAGTTACTGTCTGGAAAGATCAATATAACAAGAAAACAAGCTTATACAAGTAGGACATTCAAATAGAGAAAAAAGGAAAGGCCAGAGAGAAATGGCAATACCAGCTATTGGCTTCTTGGGTTTCACCCTTGATGTTTCTTCAACCAGCAATGTCTCAATATTTAAGATGTCAGGCAGGATAGAGTAGCAAATATTGTTACCCCTTACACTAAGGTGATCCAAAGTCACTGGGTTTTTCTCCTTTAATGTAAGTTTCACTATTTTCAGATGGGTGTTCATACTGACATCCACACCTAAAACAAACATTGTAAATCAATCAACCAGACAAGTTGCATGCCAACATGAGTATGTTCAATCAAGAAATCACTGAAGTTTATTTAGCCATCTTTAAACTATAAAACTCATGGTCAAAATAGATGCTGTCCAAGTTAGAGACATAAAGAAAAAATATTAGATTATAGAAATATGAAATTATAAAGAATGCGAGACATAGCAGCACATTAGTAACCAAGAAATCCAACAATGTAGACAACTGAATCTATTACTGCTACATGTGTAATAATAGGGGATCTTAACTTCAACATAAAAGATGCACACATGTTTATGTGCGCTTGTATCAAAGTGTATGCTCCTAGAAATTATTGTTTAGGAAATAAGTTCAAAGTTTGTAACATCATTAACATTAAGAATAGTAATTATAGTATTCTTACAATAGAATACCAAAAGAAGATTCTTTATATAAGGTTATAAGCTTTAAGAAGCTAATCAATTATTCATGAAACCAACAAATCAATATTTCAACGAGGTACTAACAGATAAGGTTTAGATAGCCAAAAAAAATTTCTCGATGTCATATAACCCTTCCACCATTCAGCAAGCTAGAAAGTAGAAAATTACAATGTTCTTTTAAGTAATCCAATAACAACAAAAAGGTGAAAAGAATGGTGCGCGCAATAATTGGATAATCACATGAAAAAAGTCCACAAACCCAATTTCATCAAGTATTGATAACTAAGTTAAATATAAGGCATCATATGTCCAAATCCATCTCTAAACAGAATAATTTATCAAAATGCAAGTTGCCTTTCAAAAATGTTTCATAGTCAACAGCAAGTCCAATACCAGTCCAATACTAGCATACTAAGTCAACAGCATACAAGTGATATCACGTGTGAACACGTAAATCCATTCCCCAATTTTAAAGTAGTAATTTAACCAAAAGGCCAGCTACAAAATACATAATTGAGATGAGAATGATTATAGTTGGCATTACCTATTTTAGGAAAGAAAACTGAGAAAACAATAAACCCTTAATTCCTATGGCACATTGACAAGAAATTTTTACAAATAGTCTTAAGCTCGGACAAATTCACTAAACGGAGGGTTAGGGTTTAGCTAAACCCTAATGTTGGCAAAAAAGAGATGAAAGGGCAAGGAGAAGGAACTTGTGATGGTGCCATGAACAACAACCACCACCAACACCCACAACCATACCCTCCCTGTCGCCAATCAAGAATCCCAAATCAAGTAAGTCATTTCATTTTTTTTTTTTTGCAAATTATACCAAAAAAATAGCAAAATACATACACAAAATTAAAAACCACAATCTTTAAAATTTGTAAGGAACCCAGCAGAAAAGAAAAACAAGGAAAGCTCGTTCGTCGACATGAGAAGAGGACAGGATGAAAGAAAAGAGAGAAAAAGAGTAAAACAAGAGAAAAAGGAATTCCATTGGCCAAAAAGGAGACCGAAAGGAGAAAGAAACCCAATTGAAGAGCTACCAGCAGAGAAAGAAACCTAACCGAAGTGCTACCACCGGAGAAGGAAACTAAATGGCAAACTCACAAACAAAGAATGAAATAGAATGGAGAAAAGGGCTCGATGAAGGAGGTACTGTTTGTGAAAAAAATACTTACACTGAATGTTTCTGGGTAAATAGAAAAGGGGCTCGATGGAATTTAGGGTTAACTTAGCGGCGTTTATTGCTTTAACCACCACCAAAGGGTGCATATGGTGGCCTTTTCCGACACAAATGCCACTAAAAGTTGTATGCTAGCAGCGTTTATAATAATAAATATCACTAAATATGTATATGAGTTAGAAAATTATTTTAATTATTTTACGGCTATTTAGTACGTAAACACCACTAAAGATCGGTAAATAATGGCATTTAATGGAAAAAAACCACTAATTAATTATAATAAAAAATGATAATTTTTAGTTTAATTAATATTGAAAATCTTTTGAAGTGTTTAGAACTATATATCCCTGATTAGTGGCATTTTTAGATAAATACTGCTATTTAAAAATTTAGTAGTGTTTGGATTATAAATACTGTTACTTTTTCAAAAATGCGAAATTTAACGGCATTTATTAGTAAACACTACTAAATAAGTGTCACCATTTACCCATTTTCTACTAGTGTTAATTTTGTTTGGCCTACTTACATTTCTATTAAAAGCATTTTGTTTTTACTTACTAACTTGCAATCACTCTTGTTCTTTTAAGCATATTCATCCAATATTCATTTTTCATCTCAAAGCATTCAGTTCCATCAGCTTTAATTGTATTTTATATTGCAAAGCTATTTTCTTTTTCTTTTTTCCATTCGGTCTATATCATTGCTAACAAGATTCTTATCTTGCTTAGTTTGGTTTTATGGTATTTACCTTAGCAAGCAACTTTGTGTTCATTTCTAACTCTAAAAATTCGACCATCTAGATATAAGGTTCTTAGGAATCACTTCATTACTTGCCCTTGCACCATTATATAGTCCTTTAGGGAATGATAGACCCTATCTCATTCTTATTACTTGGTAGTGACCTGTGCACTTGTAGCCTCACAAAAAGGAGCAATCAAATTTTTGGCACCATTGTCGAAAACTATTATAGTGCTAAAGACCAATACTGACAACTTTCTTTTCAACTTTATAATCTAGATTTCTTTTCATTTATATTTGCTTTAAGCTACTTTTAATCCATTTTTTGTTTGCATGCTCAATTCTAGAAATGGTGATTTCATTTCACTAGACAAAGAGATAGAAAGAACATTTAAGACGCTTAGATGTGAGCAAACAACCAATCCCATGGCTAACGTAGCAAATGAAGGACAAAACACATTAAGGGACTATGCCATCCCCAACCTTGAAGGTTTTTAACCATTAATTAGACGACTAGCAATTCAAGCCAATAATTTTGAGGTCAAGTCATCTAACATCCAAATGGTTTAAAAATCGGTGCAGTTTGAAGGATTATCCAATGATAACCTTAACCTTCATCTTTCTAGTTTTTTGGAATTATGTGACACTTTTAAGTATAATGGAGTTTTCGATGATACAATTAGACTAAGGTTGTTTCCTTTCTCTCTCAAAGACATGGCCAAGAGTTGGTTAGCATCACTATTTTCGAGCTTTATCACAACATTGAATGACCCAATTTAGAAATTCCTTGCCAAGTTTTTCCCATCAGCAAAAATTATGAAAATGAGAAATGAGATCACCACTTTTTAGTAATATAATGGTAAAACTCTATACGATGCTTAAGAAAGGTATAAAGAGATGCTACATAAATACCTGTACCATAGACTCCTATAATGGTTGCAAGTCTAGATCTTCTATATTGGACTAACTTCCTCAACAAGAACAACCATTAATTTAGCAATTGAAGGTACCATCATGAGTAAGACTGCCAAGGAAGCTCATAAGCTAATTGAAAAATGGCAACCAACAATTATCAATGGGGAACGAGAAGAAAGCCCATAAAAAAGTAGCCGATGCATCTAAGCTAGAAACCCTAGCCACCATCATTTTTTAACTTGCCATTTTGACCAAAAAGATAGAAGCCCTAGGAAACCAACCATCTATTGCTCTTGTCCAAGTTGTCATAACCTATTTCTGCTATGTGAAGTTTGTGAAAGTCCATACTCTTATGATAGGTGTTTACATAAAGAAGAAACTGTGCAATTTGTAAACTAAGCAAAACCATTTTACAACCCCTATAGCAACACCTATAATCCAGATGGAAGAATTATCCCAAATTTTCTTGGAACTAAAATCAAAATGGCCACCCTAATAACCAACAACCTAATTTTTGCCAAAACCAACCCACCAATAACCTATCCCAAGAGAAAACCTACCCTTGAAGAAATGTTTTCACAAATGCTACAAATCCAAAACACCACCATCCAAAGTCAAGTAGCCTTTATAAAAAATTTAGAAATCCAAATAAGCCAACTTGTAAAATGCCTTAGCAAATCGGCCTATAGGGTCCTTGCAAAGTAACACTGAGTTAAATCTCAAAAAGTAAGGAAAAAAATGTGCAATGCTATCTTTTCAAGTGGAAAAACAATCTGTTTATCAGATGATGATTTAATGAAGGATTTCATAGAGGTGAATTGGCTTAACTTTATGATGGCTTAACTTTATTAAAATCCAAGAAAAGAAATTTATGAAAAAAGACTCTAAAAAAGATTTGTAAGAAAAAGACACATAAGAAAAAAAGGTCAAGGAAAATGATGATAAAATAAGTAATGAAAAGTTACTCCAAGTTAGAAGAGCCATCTGAAAATGTTTGGATCCAAACATGGAAAAGCGAGAGAAAAAGTCAAGAAATGAAAAGAATGAAGTTAACTCCAAGAATATCCATAATTAGGTGAACAATAGATGTAGCCCAATCAACCCCAAAATGCAAATGGAAAGAGCTACTAAAAAAGTTAAGAAAACCATATGTTATAATGAATATAGTCAACTGCTTTAACAAATCTTGCTAACCAAGTTAGATGATTCAAGAAGTATCTGTATTTCATGTTTAATTTGGTTTTTTAAATTTTAATGATGCATTATGTGACCTAGAATCAAGCATAAATTTAATGCCTATGAACATTTATATACAATTTAGAGTGGGGGCATTGAGTTTCCCACTTTTAATATTAAGTTTGCTGATTGGTCTATAAAGCTACCTTAAGGAATCTTGGAAAATGTCTTGGTAAAAATGGGTAAGTTTGCCTTCCTAGTTGATTTTTTTGTTTTAGACATGGTTGACAATTATGCTCCTAGTCTGCTAGGTATACCTTTTTTATTGATTGCAAAAGCTTTAATAGATGTTCACAACTTTGAGGTAACCCTAAGATTTAGAGATGAAAGAATAACTTTTAAGACTTGTTGACAAGGCATTTTTATAAAAGAAAAAGTTGTACAAGGTGTGTCAACATAGAGGAAAGGGAAAAATCAACTCATAAGAAGCCTACTAGCCTATCCAAGGAAACTTTAAAACCCCATTTAGTAAGCCCAAGTCCAACAACTCATTATGCCTACATGAGACTTACGAGAAGGAAAAACCCAATAGCCAAAACCAATTTTGTCTATGTTATTTCAACAAAAAGGAAGCAACAAGGGAAAATTTCACTAAAAGAGAGTAGTAGGTTTTAGATATTTAAGTATGATCCAACTTAACCAAAATTGGTGTTGTTTGGGAGGAAACACAAGCTCTACATTTATTTGTAACTTTTATATTTTTAGACTTTATATTTTTTTTCTTGTTTAAGACGGCCATGCTTTGATTTTTTTTTTTTTTAGGAATAAAAGATGGAGTAAGGATAAAAAAAAGGGGCCCAAACCATTCTGTCAAAAGAAACAAATATAGGGGAGTTTTTCTTAATCCTAAACTTTTAATTGTTATGCAAATCAAGTGTTAGGGAGGGGAACTTTTGTGTTAAAATTGTTTGTCAACATTTTTTCAAAAAGGTTACAATTAATCTTTGTTTTCAAATCAAATTGATATGTCTTTAATCATTATTTTGCAATTTTAGTTGATCTTTTACATGTATTCATGAGTGACTTTTGTATAATCTTAAGACAAGTTTGAATGTAGTGAAAATATAAAATGAAATCTTATGTATGTTTTTTATTGGATTGTTAATTTTCATGTCATGTGCATTTTAAGCTTGATCTTTGATATGCATGAATCTTTGTGAAAAGTCATGTTATTGTAAAATTGCATAAAGAATTAAGGCATAAGCATAACTTGACTCAAAAAATAATTTAGGCCATCCTTTAACCGTTTAAGCCTTTTCAAGCCCACCTATAAATAAATTCATCTTTAGTACATTACTAGAAAAATGCCCTTTTTATCGATGAAATTTTTTATCAGTAAAAGTCAATTTTTCGTCGATAATAGTATTACCGACAGATTTATCAACAAAAAATTTTCATCAATGTTAGACAAGTTGGTATAGAAAATAAGTAATTAATGGCAATATTTTTAGTGACGTTTTACTAAAAAATGCCACTACATTCCGTGTTTTTTAAAGTGTAGCAGCATTTGTATCACAAATGCCATTAAATTTGTATATAGTGGCGTTTATGAAATAAAACACCACTAATGATAAAAATTTTGTGACATTTTATTAAAAAAACCACTAAATAATCTTTAAAATTTTAATAATTATAAATGTAATTTTTTAAAAACATTTTCAAATTCAAATAGGTGACTATTTGGTGGTTTTTGTCGAGGGAAATGCTTTTATTTGTTAGATTTAGAGATGTTTGTGTAAACAAATGCCTCTAAATTATCTCTAAAATTAAATGAATCTTGAATCTCCCTTTGCCCAGAACATAATTCATGCAAGCATTAGCTCCATTCAGTTGTTTCTTTTTTTTTTAGCTTTCCCTTTTCTTTCCCTTTCCTTTTTTTTCCTTTCGATTTTTAGTTTGAAAATTTCCTTTATAACCCATTTTTCTTGAAAACCCATTTGAAACCCATTTTCCTTTTCCCTTTTCCTTTCCTTTTCTTTTTTGGTTGACCACATTCGACCTTGTCCATTTCCCTTGTCCTTTTCTCCATATTTCTGTTTTTTTCCAATCAAACTATTTCTATTAAACCCGTTAAAATTTTGGGTATTTTTTGGTTCTTATCCTAGAATTGTTTCACATGTGTTTTTGTTTTGTTTTTTAAGGGTTGTGAAAATATAAGGGAAAAAATAATGATAAAGTTAACGCTACACAATCAAAACACTTTGTTACAGACGTGCAAAAAAAGTAAGATTAATGAAAGGTACTTTCTTCTTTTTTCTTATGTTTTTAATGTTCATATTTTATTATTACTTTTTTTTTATTTTCAATTTTTATTCATACCTTTTAAGTAATTCTGTGTTTATCAAGCTAAAGTTTTGGTAATTGCATAAACCATTGATCGTAACGGCTTGGGGTAGGTTGAGTCCAAGAAAGTTTTGAACTTTATTAGCTTAGGTTTATTTTTGTTGTGGAAATATTGATGATTGAAAAGAAACTGGTTTGGCTAGCTAACTGATTGTATTATGAATCGAAGATGATTGTACTGAACTTTTATCAAGAAGTTCTCTTTTTGTGTAAAAGCAAGCTTAGAACATGAAAATTAAATAACAAGAAGATCAATACAAAAACCAAACTCAAATAAATGAACAAGCAAACTAAAACAAAAAATTAATGGGCTAGTAAAGCAACAGCATGAAAATAAATTAAACAAAAATTTAAAACATTTTATTCAAGCAACAAGGTGCCTCCTAGGTGAATGCTCAACCTAACAGCAACTTTGTACTATCCTTATCAATCCCTAAATAGCCATGAAAAATCAAAGAAACAACAATGTAAAGCAAACATCAAAATCTGGAAACAGGTTCTAAACAACATCTTATTAAAATTCAATTTCCACTCTCATTTGATAGTATTTGATCTCCAAATTTTTTGTGGTAGTAACTAACTAATATGTAAACACAGACATAAATTTTCAAGAGCATTGAACATTATTTAATACTTAAAATTTAATCAAAATCATAAAAAAAAACAAAATCTGGAATTTCAGGTTGGAAAATAGAACAGCTCCTACTAAATCTTAGATCTAGCTCAAAATATATGGACTTTTGCTCTCAAATTTTATAGAAGCTTAGATAACTCATAGATGAACAAGTATTAAAAAGCTTGATACAAATTGAAATCGAATTGAACTTGAAAAGTAACAAAAACCAAAACAAAATAAAATCTAAAAACAAAATAACATTCTAGAAATAGCTTTTTAAAAAAATTAAATTTGCTAGCTCAATTAGAACTATTTAATCAAGAGGAAGCACTGTAAACCAAGCTAACAAGTAAAGGAACAACATATGAAAACCTCATGATTTGTTGAAATTGAAATCAACTTGAAAATTAATTAAACAGTGACTAACATCAAAACCAAAAAACTCAAAAATTGTGTTGAATACAAACTGAAATTGCAAGCTTAAATGGAAAATGTTTGCTTAAAGGAACTAAAGTAGAACTAAATAACAAGTAAATGACAAGTAAAGAAATGTAAAAAAAAAAAACTTAAAATAAATTTAAAACAAAAGGAAAAATAAAGAATAAAGACTAAACAACCAATAATATGTTAAGGATCACCACAGCTTTGATATCATTTGTTGAGGATCACGACAGCTCTAATACCATTTGTTAAGCTAAAATGCCCCGATCCAATCATATCAATGAAAGTGAAATCAAACAATCAATCAATCACACAAGAGATAACAATGTAACCTGATTTAATTTAATCGACTTATGTTTATGAATGAGAAAAAAAAGATCCATTAGTTATAAAGAATTACAAACATACAATCATATCAGCCACATCAATACTCATAGACACTCTCAATCTCTTTTAGTCCTATGGAGTATTCTCAACCTAAACAAATATAAACCCATATACACTCATGCACCAATATTTATATGGATCCTCTCAGTCTTTTCTAGCCCACTCACAAACATTCACACCATCATACTTATGTGGACTATCTCAGTCTCTTTTAGTCCATTCAAACATACACACCCATAAAGACATTAAATCACCAATAGTCTTATAGGGTGTTTATCCCATAAACCCTACAACTCTCTTACATCTTTTTTTCATACTTAACATTTTATAGATTTCATCTATTTATAAGCATACAAACTTGCCTATTAAGAATCTTTTTCTCTTAAAATTCTTCTTCTGTAAGTCTTTTTATCCATCAAGTAATATCCGATCAATCCTAAATAAATCTATTATGGGATTTAAGTCACTATTCCCAATAATCTCCACCTTGACTCAAATTTCATCAAATCATCTGTCTTCGTGCTAGACATACTTGTTCCACCTGCAATGAAAGTCTCAATCATTTTCTCTTGTATGTCTTCAAGCTTTAAATAAATCAATTTTCAATTTTTAAAACATGAACTCGAACTCTTCACTTGAATCAAGCTCTTTTGGGTTTACCTCTTTTCATGCCTTAAACCATGTTTTGATATCACTTATTAGGAATCATTACAGCTCTAATACTACTTATTGAGGATCACCACAGCTCTGATACCACTCGTTAGGATAAAAAGTCCTAATCCAATCATAAAAAGTCCTAATTCAATCACACTAGCAAAATCAAAATCAAACAATCAATCACATATAAGATAATAATTTAACGTGGTTCAATCAAATCAACCTACATCCATAAATGAGAAAAAAAGATCTTTTAATTGTAGATAATTACAAACATACAATCATATCAGCCACATCAATACCCATAGATACTCTCAATCTCTTTTAGTCCTATGGAGTATTCTCAATCTAAATAAACATAAACCCATATACATTAATGCATCCATATCTATATAAACCCTCTCAGTCTTCTTTAGCTCACTTACAAATATTCACACTACCATACTTATGTAGATTATTTCAGTCGCCTCTAGTCCATTCAAACATACACATCCATAAGGACATTAAATCTCTAATAGTCTTATAAGGAATCTATCCCATAAAATTTTACAACTTTCTTGTATATTTTTCTCATACCTAACCTTATAAAGACTCCATCCTAATCTTGTAAAAACTTTATATATTTATAAGCATACAAACTTGTCTATTAAGAATCCATTTCCTCTTAAAATTCTTCTTCTCTTAAAATTTTTCTTTTACATGTCACACTTACCTATTAAAATTTTTTTTTTCTCTTAGAATTTTTTTCTGCAAGTTTTCTTATCCATCAAGTAATATATAGCCAATTCCAAACAAATCGGTTATAGAATTAGAGTTACTATTCCCAACAGAACATAACAACTATAGAGTTGTCAGCACTTGGAGTTCCAACCCAAAAAAAAGAAATGACGAAGCATGTATGAATGAGAGCTATTCTATAGCTAAATGAAAGTTTTTTAATGTTTGATTCCAAGTTCAACTGATGCAATCTCAACTTTAAAAAATGCCAACCTTCAAAAATTTGTCACATATGGGGATTTGTTGTGCATAAGTAGCTGGCTTTTCCTTTTTTTTTTTTCATGTGTATTTGCTTAGAAAAGCTTAATTATTACATCAAAGAGTTTGGAACCCATGTACACACTACCAACACCAGTTTTCTTAATATCAATAGGTATTGACTTTAAGTTGTTGTGCTAGCTGTGTTTCCTTTTTTTTTGCAGCCCATGTGATAACATCTCAAGTGGACTTATGATAATTTTATAAAAACTAAATTTATCAAATAGCAGTTGCAAATTGATGATGCTTGCTTAACTTTGTAAATGGTAATTTTGACTAGTTTTTTTATGCTTTTAAATTTCAAATATTAAGAGATCTTATACCAAATATTGATAAAAAGAGAGATATGGCTTCATTCTTGTTAGAGGTATGTCATGAATTTGGAAATGAAAAGTGTCATACATATTATTTATCTAGCCTTTTAAGAAAATTTTGCTTTAAAAATTTCATGATTGGAACAATATTTTTTTGTAAGTAAGAGAGTATGTCTAATATTTACAAGAGAAGGTTAAAAAATATAAGGGTTCATACCAAGGATAGAGTTCCGACCCCACAAAATTAAAGCCATGATTATGTTTTTATACTAAATGCCTTATATATTTGAGGTTTAAATAATGTCTTTTCTTTTTTATGGCTTAAGCAATTAATTTATGATTTGAAAGGCATGCTTATAATGATGAGTATATCCTCTTCATTAAGCTATTAGGTAATCTATGATTTTGTTTATTTGCTTTTTTTTTTTTTCTCAAATGGGGAGCTCAGTTTCATTAGGCTTGTTAAGTATAAAATTGCTTAAAATCTTTAATAGGCATAAGTCTAGTTTAAAATTTTAAATTCATTTTTTTTCAATAACTTTTTATTTAATTATAGTATTCAATATTAAAAAATTAAAAAAAGTAAAATTTTTAATTTAACAATGTTTGTGATTAAAAACGTCGCTAAATTTTTTAATTAACTACATTTTTGCGCACAAATGTCTCTAAATTACAAAATTAGTGACATTTTTTTTATATAAAACACTATTAATTTCTGTAATTTAATGGCATTTGTATGCAAAAACATTGTTAAATTTAGTAGTATTTTTTAGCATAAACGTCACAAGGTGACCTTTTTTTTTCTTAAAACATTGTTCTTTTTCTCGACACAGATTTGGCCGAAGCTCTTAACGATATTTTTGGCAAACGCTACTAAATATGAAAAATAAAAAAAACCACTAAAAGTCTATTCTCTTATAGTTTACAATGCTATTTCGTTAGTAATAAACAAAGTCCATCAATAATTATCGATAGGATTTTCATTAGTAATTACCTATAGAATTATTAGCGACAGAAAGACGGTAAAATCTATCGATAATCCATTGATAATATTTATTTTTTAATTATATTTAATATATTTTATTTATAATTTTTGTCATTTTATTTTAGTTTTTTGATTTATTTGTAAAGTAATTACATAGAATACTAAATATACGTAAATAGAAAAAATAAACAAACAAAATGCTCCATTTTATTTATAAAAGAAAGTCAAATATTTTACAAAATTGTTTATGAATTCTATTAAATAAAAACACAAATGATACAATAAGGCAACTAAAGTGTAATTGCATAATGAGCAAAATGAAACATTTGGCGTATAGTGGCATACCCCTATCGCATTCCAGTGTCTTCCAGATTCTATCTAAAGTTACCATCAAATTATCCAACAGTTGGAAAATTTTGCACCCTAGAGAACCCAATTGATTCAAATGCTTTAGAAAGTAATCCATTCGGCGAAAAGCATCAGTTCCACACACTTCAACAAGAACTGGTATCGCCTTCACCACCTGTGAGTAATTGGAGCTGTGTCAGAAAGAAATTGTAAAAATAGTGACACTGAAATTAGCAGGAAATAAGAGGCAAATTCTGACCACAAATTACAAATCAAAGGTGATCGATCAGTCTAGAACTAGGATTTTGTTACTACAAACTAGCCATTTTTAATTTTGACAAATAATATGAAGTCTGGAAATCTCAGTCCTTATGCTTAATTCCTGATATCAGCAAACAAAAACCAAATAATTCAGTTTTGACATGAAGAAAAAAAAAAGAAAAACTTGATCACATCATTAGGAGCATGAACAGATCAAGCAGAAACAGCACAAAAATAACTGATCAATATAACCTCATGGTCCAAATCTTTATGTAAAATACTAAATAGTAACCGGTAATTGTTGTCTTCAAAACTACCACAAGTTATCTGATCTAAAACACATAATCGAAACAGGTGGTAGAAAACGTAAGGTAGAATCTGATCAACCAAAACAAAAAATACTGAAAGAAATTGCAAATTCACAGTCAACAACATAGCATAGAAATCATCAACAATAATCTAATCAGTATAAAATTAGTCAAATTTTATGAACTTAAGCATAATTCAACAACTAGATTACCTGAAAAGGCTTACAAAATTAACATAAAATAGTGACATGTTCAAACTCACATATATGTGTAATAGAGAAACCATTGCCTTAAGAACCATTGAGTTGGTCGAGAAGGATAAGCAAACCAGACATCATTCAATTCTACATCTCCATCTGGATTTCTACCATAGACAATATAACATCACAAATTAGAAGCAATCAATATCTTGACAAAAATCAAATTGTATGCTTGATTTCAACACTGTTACACAACTTTGTCTTTCTCCTGGCATAAGACTAATGGACTTTTCAAGGATATTGTGATATGACTGATCCCTCTAGGCACCTGTCTCCTGATTTCGCCATGCTTGAGACACGATCTAAGAGCTGAAAAATCCTCCTACTTGCCCCTGCAGCTTTCATGGCAGTTGTATAAAATCCTAATAAAGAGGAAATTGAGGATCCAACTGCAAGCAGATAGAGACACAGTCATATGAAAATTTTAGTGACAAGATTCAGCCATAAAATCAATCCATTTGTAAAATACGGAATAGGTTAAGCTCAGAATATCATTTATGACAAACTAACAATCTTCAGCTGAAATGATTTAACTATGGAAAATAAAAATCATTGAACAAAAATAGCCTCTTAGCAAGGTTTGTAGTACCAGACCATTTTTTTTTTATGATCTACAACTATGGATATAGATCTGTCACATTTAAAGGTTATTGCTACTTTTAACATACTTTAACAAAGTGGTAAGAAATCTTTATCAAACTGCTACTAACTTTCAGGTATTTGAAGTGTCTTTATTGAGACCAAAGATTGAACAGAAACTAAGCAAAACTTGAAAATAGGGGACGCTACAAACATTATGAAGGTAGCTGTGAGACTATAAAGGATAAAGGAGGTAAGAGAACCCCCAGTCATATATCCCATTATTGTCAAGTAGGCACCATAAATCACCACTATTATAACAAACAACATGAATGTAGCATTTAGTCCTCCAATGAACAGACCAACTACTTTCTGTAGAAGAAAACAGTAGAAATTATGCAAGTTTAGTTTCTGAATAGTTGTGCAAGTGCATGTGTTGTGCATATGAGGGAGAGAGAGAGTATGAGGTTATCATTGTGAAACTTAAAGCTTGTTTTAGGCCAAGCTTCAGTGTCTCATCAACTTTTTCGGAGTAATTTGATATTGCATAACCTTCTAGAGCAAATGATCTAACCGTTCGAATGGCTCCAAAAGATTCCTAAACATTAAAATAGCTCATGAAAGATAGAATATCAAATAATGGATCATGACCTTACCATGGTTTTCTTCCTTTTCTAGTACTTAAACAGTAAAGTAGCTCATGTTTTATGGTGATGATAAGCTATGGAAATGATTTCCTTTTATTTTATTAGATAGTGCAGATTTTGAGATGGCATTATGGGTCTGTTCATTGTTAAGAACTTGACTAGAGCTTTTATGAAGGCCATGCAGATACTTGAGAGATATAAAAAAAAAGAGGATTACCTTTCTGTGAAGATATTCATATGATATTTCCAGTAGAGGAACCCCATTTAACAAAATCTTTCCCTTCGGAGGTTCATAGAACCACTCCATTAAGTTTGCTATTGTGGTCTGCAACAGATTGGAAATCTAGATTCATTTACTAGTACAGGTTGGAGAAAATGACATCAACTGCTGAAATACTCTTAACAGAGAAAATGACATAAGCTCCTAAAACCTTGTCCGCTATCCTCAGACTATGGCCTCTTTGAGCCAAAAGAAATGTTCATCCAAACCATAATCTTTTAAATAAGATTCCCATGTCAATCTACTCTTTCGCTTAAGCCCCCAAAGGGTAATCTTTGGTAAAAACAAAATAACGGAACGAGGCATTGAGTCATGGAGTAAGCTCTATACATAAATTCTACAAGCACAAAGGAGAATTCTTCTTAAAATAAAAAAAAAAATAATTTCCTCTGCTGAAGACTACAATGCTGACACGTGATAACTCACCACATTGTGCTATGCGAATCAAGACCAGTTGAGTGACAGGAAATCTATCCAAACCCCACTTATCACAGAAGAACCTGAAAAGACCCCAAAGTGCCAAACTTGATAGCACCCAACAAGTGCAAGTGGTAGCTGATACCTATTAATAACAACACAAAACAAGTGATCTTGCCTATCAAAAGTTTTTTCATTTCCCACAAATTTCTCAGGAAACAAATAGAAAAACAATTTACCTCGCCATAGAAAAGAACCAAAATAATCGTCAAAATCAATAACTAAAGTTCACAAACGTGTAAAGAACAAAGAGGGCTTACAGAGAACAAGCAAAGAAGAGAATAAAAAGTGAGGCATAATTCTGAATCGAAATTTCTTCGACAGAACTCGACCTGGGTCTGTTGCCTTGCGAATCGAAATTTCAAGCAGAGCTATGTCGGTTTACGCGACGAGCTTTTGTGCTTCGATTTTATCGTGTTTGGATCGACAACCTGCGGGTGTGAAGTGAAATAAAAAGAGAGGGGTGGGAATTTTAGAAATTTATGGTTTTAGTCGAAAGAGGAAGAAAAGAAAAGGGGCTTTTGATTGTCCGTCGGTTTTCTAGTAGTGCAGCCGGCCGGTGAGGGCGCACGATTGGGATAAGGGACGACGGTGGCGAGAGAGAGAGGGCAGGAAGGTTAGGGATTTGGTGTTTGTTTTGGGGAAAATTGGATTTACCCAATTTTTTAAGGTGGAAATTCTTTTTTTTTTGTACCGAGGGATTTACCAATAAACTTTTTGTTAGTGATACGTTAATTTTTTTGTATTTTTTTAATGACAAAAATTTTATTGATAATTTATATTTTTTATTGATGTATCAACGAAAAATTTTATCAATAAAATTTATGACAATTGACGTCAAAATTTTACCTATAGATTATTGATAAAATTAAATCTATGATAAAAGTTAATTTTCTTTTATATTTTGTTGGTAATTATCGATGAAAAATTTTTGTCAATAAAATTTTATTGATATAAACTATAATTTTGGCAATGATATTTTTACTTCGAGCTTAGAAATTTTTTTTTTATTTATCCATATTAAATAAGCCTGAACATTTTCTTGTGAATTGTCTCTGTTTTTTTTACCCAACCAACATTGTTTATGTATGTTAGAGATAAGAAAAAAGAACAAGTCAAATTAGGAGAGAAGGGAAACATAAGGAAACAAAAAAAAAAAAAAGACAAAAGTAAAAGCCAAAATGGCCATCTATAATAAAAATACCTCAAGCCTTGTAAAAATTCTTAAGTCCAAGCAAGTAAATGACTTTAAGCCTAAAATTTTTGTTTTTCCTATCTTAACCCAAATCTTATATTATAAGTCAATAAAGATTTATTAATTTTGAGCCAAGTATGTAAATTTACATTAGTGGAAAGGAAATGAAGAAAGTAAACATATGCAGTATACTTTATCTTTGATTTATTATGTGATGGCATAATTTATATACTTTTTTGTTAGATTTCATGTATAGATTTGAGATAGATTAATTTCACAAACATGAAACTTACATGAAAAATGAAAGTTTACTTATAATTAAGTTTTATATCTAACTATTTTCATAATTATCTTAACATTACATCATAGTGCATGATTGATAACGTGTGAAATTTTAACTACGAGTGCATCCATGTGATTGTTGGCATTAATAACTTAAGGATTTTGCTTAAGGCATGCAAAAAATTAAGTGTGAGGAAGTGATGACCATACAATTTATAGCTATTTACATGTCATTTGAAACTTAAAAATTTGAAAATTTTTATGAATTTTGCTCAATAATGATGTAAATTTATGCATTTTAAGTTTGCATGAAGAAACAAATCACTTTGGATGTAAAAGCTAAAATCCATGCAAACCTTGCAAAGGTGACTAGAGGAAACCATGCATGAACCATGCACTCCATGCAAAGTTGGTGAGATATGTTTGGCCAAGACCTAGAATTGTCCATGCATTTGGCCATGCATGTAAAGATGAGTGATCCATGCATTGGTAGTAGCCATATCCAACCCAACATAAAGCCAAATTAAGAAACCCATAGGATCTAAAGTCATATTCGACCAAAGCTAGAATAGGAATACAAGAGTACTCTTTTAAATTCAAAAGAATCTTAAGATGAGTAAGGAAGCAAAAAAAATTGACATTTAAATTCAAATTGGCTAAATCTCCATATTGAAATTCAAATCATATTCATTTAGGCAAAAGTGGTGTAAATGGATCAAATGCAAGAGCTATATTTAACCATAAAAGAGCAATTCACTCATGAAGCTTCCTCATTCAGTTGGACTCTACTTGAATTCAAGATTACCTTTCAAATTTAAAAAGGTTTTAGTTTCAACAAAATTGTCTTGGTTCATCCCCACTTTAGCCGAACCTTATACTATAAATAGGTCATACATCCTTTCTTCCATTATTATCTCTTTAGTTTAGGTTCTCTTTAGTTTTCTAGTTCTTTTCTTTACATTTCCATTCAATTAAGGTGACAACTTAGGCTACATTTGTGTTTTCTCAAACAATTTCAATATAAGTTTCTTTACAATTTTTGTAAGCTCTTTTTTTTTTTTTTTTGGTTCATGCAAAGCAAACTGTTTCATTTCATTCTTTTTCAATCACTCTCAAGCAATCTTGTTTTCTTTAAAAAGCCTTTGATTTGATTACTTTTAGTGCACTTAATCTTGTTTCAGCCTATTTGTATTTTTATTGAAAGCATTCGATTTTACTTATTAACTTGCAATCATTCTTGTTCTTTTAAACATATTTGATCAACTTTCATTTTTCATTTCAGAGCATTTGGTTCCATCAAGCTTTAAATTTATTTTATAACAAATATATTTTCTTATTCTTTGTTCCATTTGGCCCATATCACTACTAACAAGATTCCTATCTTGCTTAGTTTGGTTTTGTGGCCTTACATTAGCAAGCTACCTTGTGTTCATTTCAAACTCTAAAAATTCAACCATCTAGATATAAAGTTCATAGGAATCACTTCAATACTTGGCCTTGCATCATCATATAGTCCTCGAGGGAACGACAAACCTTACTTTCACTCTTATTACTTGGTAATGACTTATGCACTTGCAACCTTACAAAAAGAAACAATCATTAACCCCAATGTTGTTACAAATTCACTAAGACAACCCATGATTACACCAGCTTGAGACATATCTGCATAAGCAAACAACAATAAATCATTTACAAAAAATAAATGAGATAAAACATGTCATCTCTTGAAAACTTTAATAGGCTTTCATTGTTTACAATACATTTTATTTTATATAATATGTGTCAATTTTTTTATAACCATGATAAAAATATATGGAGAGATTGGATGGCCCTATCTCAAAGCTCGTTGCAAAGAAAAATAAAGAAACCTTCAATATTACAATCAACTTAAAATTGATTAGAGGACATACAAAAATAATTAGTTTAATTAATTACGTTGAAAAATTAAAATTAATTAAAACTTGCCTTAAAAATTCCTAATTAACATTATCATATGCTTTATGAAGATCTATCTTCAAAATTAGACCTCTATATTTATGCTTCATTCATGTCATAATGCACACCATCTCTTGAGTGATGATAATATTATCATTAGTACTCTTTCTTGGTAAAAGAAAAAAATAAAAACTATTCTAGAAAAAGGCCTACTAATTTTGTAACAAATGGCATAACCTTGCTATAAAGAGTTTAGAACAAATTTTGTAAAAAAGTATTAAGAATGCTAATAGGTCAAAATTCCACCATAGAGAATTGGTTATCCTTTTTGGTATCAAAGTAATAAGAGCTTTGCTATACTCCAAAGTGAAAGAACAACTATCCATCAAAGCTTGATTTGCTAAATTAACAACTTTAACTTTCATAAATTCTCAATTTCTTTGAAAAAAATTGGTTGTACTACATCAATATCAAACGACTTAAGGCCCTTCTTTGAAAACAAGTCATCTTTCACTTCTACATCTTCCTCTTCACTAAACAACATTTGATGATCCTCTTCTGACAACCTTGGACACATTTGATCATATTTTCTATGCAACAAAGTCACTACCCTTTTTTCAAATAAAGTTTGGAAAAACTTGACATTGTGTTGTTTAATTATATTTGAGTCCAAAATTGATTCACCATAATTATTAAAATGAACAACTCTATTCTTGTTGCATTGAATAATAGTAGACAAATGATTAGATCTTGTAGTCTTGACACCATCATATATCCATTGATCTCAAGACTTTTGATACTAAAACAATTCGTTTTGATATAAAGCATCTTGGAATTCTTTTATTAAATCAATTTTTAATTTTTGAAAAAAAAAAGAAATAGCACAGGAAGTGGAATGTTGACCTTCATTAATTCAAGCCATTTGAATCCTCTTTTCTATTAAATATGTTTTCAAAATAGTCCATACTTCATTCTTTCATGGCATTATGTTTATTTCAATTACTTGCATAACTCAATCCCTTTTTTCGCATGCTGATAGAAAAAATTAACAAAGTTCTCACAGGAAACCATGAAGCTTGAAATCAAAATGGTCAACTATCTTGAAATAGAGGATGGTAAAGCTTTGAATGCAACAAAATAGGATAATGATTTAGGCAAAAACAAGGTAAATTCATTACTTTAGCTTTAAGAAAATTTTATTTTCTTGAGTAGCCAAATTCATCATTACTATATCCAAGCGTTCGTGCAAGAAAATATTCCCATAATGCTTTTGAAACCACTCAAACTTAACACCAATAGCACTAATATAAAATAAGCTTAAGCATCTCACCTCTCAATAAACTTTGACAATTATTACAATAAAGTTTAATATTCCCCATTTCTCCTTAGCATTAACAATGTCAATAAAATACCTATCATCAACCAAGGAAGCATAACATTACTAGCAAACAGTTCAAGACCAACACAAAATTAATCTTCCTTCTTATGACAAAGTGGTTATACATAAGCACAAGAGAACAAACATTCAAAATTGTTATCTTGAACTAACGCATGAATCAATTGGCTCATGGAATTAACAATTTGAATTAATGTCTTGTAATGTTTCTAAAGAAGAATCCTACATGCAAAACCATCATAAAAACTCATGAAAATCACTAAAACCCAACTTCTAAGCAATAGAAGTTTTGTGATAATGCAACTCGTATCTTCATAATTACAAAGATATAAAACATTTTGAATGCCTTGACAATTCCATGAAATTTACTTTCATATCAAATGATTTAAAAGAAGGGTGCCTCTTGTATAAGTTTTATGTTTTGGTCTACCAATTGATGTAAAATCTCCATATTCATCTAATTGTCATAATTTTTTATTGCATTGAAAGGCATCTCAGCAACATTCTCTGATCCATTAATTAACATCTTTTTTTAAAGGATCTACGCATCTATGTTCGTAATTATATATTTCCATCCCAGCATTGACCAAGACAACCTAGAATCTTTAACATTGCCCAACACTTTAACTATCTATGATTTTGGAATCAGCTCAATTTGGGTCATCACCATTAGTTCATTCATAACTAAAATAATTGCATAATTAATGGGTTGAGCTAATGGTTGCTTTCTCATTTGGGATTAGGCTCAGTTCTTTTTAAAATATTTTTACTAATATCTCAAGTTCGGCATTTTTTCTACCAAATCAATAGTCTTAGAAGATTTATTCGCACAAGATTTACTAGCTAGCTCCAACTTAGAATCAACCAAGCTTT